CACGGTTACCTATCAAATAACTAACAAAACTGGTTAAAGGCTTACAAAACTTTAAAGGTAACTTTGGATGAAGCTAAAAGAGATTAAACAGCAAAAGGACTTAACACACTTGATACATATACTTTTTAAAAATCTACAAATGGACTAGTTAAAAAGACTTGAATCATCATTTTCTTTAAAAATCATATGTACCCCAATTCAATACAGCACTGCAATTGAGAAATATCCATGGCAACATGAAAACACACAAAGGGCTCTCTCTATTTAATAACTTTGTGACGCTTTAATGTTCAAAATTATAGAGAAGTTTAATGTTTACAATTATAGAGAAGTTCAATAGATAAAACCCAGACAAAAGAGTATTCTAAACTAAACTACACGTTCACAGCACAGTCTTCCATCCCAATGTTTTTATCAATCCATTAAATTAATATTTCACATAGCTTCTCTTCAAAGCAATTGATCGTAACACAGTGCATCTGCCAGGCCTCGACAGCGTGCGAGAGCAGCAGCCTAGGCTGGATTTTATCTCTAACTCAACTCTTTTCTGAAAGAGCAGCTGACACAAGGAAGGCTTACCGTCAGTATCTAGGAGACATTTTGACTTTGGAAACCATTTTCTCTCTCCCAGACACTTGGTTCCAGGTGGCTGAGACACAATCTCACCCTGACATCTCGCAGCCAGGGCAGAGGTCTGCCAAGCTGGACAGTCTCTGTGCTGGAGTCCTGACCCATGGGACCCTTACACGTCCCTCACAGCTATTTGGTACCTTCCCCTGCTTCCTGATCACAGCATCCCTGCCCTCCACGCTCGCATGGGTATAGAATCCCTGTAAGGAACATATTCTTGCCCTTCTGCAGATGCTCAAGCTGTACCTGGACTTCAGGACAGCTGCATTTGCAGCATGACCCATGGCCACGGTCTCCCAAACACCCAAGTCTGCATCCCTGCCAGGGCACACCTCAGATGCCTTCTGCCAGTGCAAGAGGGTGTCCTTCCCAAGGCAACCAGGACATGGGATGGCACAGAAAGGAACTGGAGCATGCCTGCATCTCATCCACTTAGACCATAGCACAGCTGGAGCACACACCCAGACCTGAGAGTGCTCCTGGATCCTGCCATTTAGGCACAGTGGCTTAAGGAAATCCCACCCTCTCCAGTCATTTTTGGTATCCCAGTAGGTCCACCATTGCACTGACCGTCCCGGCTACTAGAACCACCTCCTCTCTTCTGCCCAAAGCTTGCTGGGTTTTGCTTGTGCAGCTCCAAGTCAGTTGCTGCTGCTCTCTACCTAAACCTCACTTTTTGTTCTGCTTTTGCAAATTTTCCAAACTCCATGCATGGAGTAAGCTGGTTCTCCTCCACGCCAGCAAACACATCCCCATTAACCTTAAGGACATCCCTGATCCTGGACTGGGCAAGGCTGCACTAAGGCCACTGTCAGCCAAAGGTGAATTTCACATACCCACATTCCAGGATCCTGTGGTTTTAATTGCAAACTGCACCCAGGACTCACAGAGCAGGTCCCCACAGCCATCATGGATCCTCAACACCCCATTAATGACCCACACACACTTGCCACTTGGCAGCTTGGTCCCTTCCGACGTGTCGCCACACGAATACCAGCTTACCCAACGGCTGAGTCCAGCCAAGACCAAACCTACGGCAGATCCTCAGGACAGCTAAGATTTGTCTTCACACTGTTAGAAAAAGGCACTGGTTTAAGGTTCATCTTTCTAGAAACATGCCCACAAACAGTGCACGATTGTCTTTTACCTCTTTTTAGCCTACTACTCCATAACTGAAAAATTATCAGAGCTCAGGGCCGACATTTGCATAAGTTAAACCAACAATTATGATGATGATAACCACAGTTTCAAAATCCTTAACTCCCCTGCCATTGCTGGGGACCTCAATGGAGCAAAGATAGCAGCACTTGGCCAGCAGGAAGGACAGCAAGATCACCACGCTGAGATCAAAAGAGTTATTAACCTGGAGTCCTTACACTGTTGAGTGCAAACAGTAATTTCTGTTATTTCAAAGCCACACTGCAGCTTACTGGCGAGCAGAGCTCCGTGTTTGCTCAGAGCACCCTCTTTGTACACGCAGCTGAGGAACGAAAAGGGTATTTCAACATAGGAGTGCAGGTCCACGTCCACCTCTTTGGAGGGACAGGCACGTGGCATTATTTGCCAGAGGACACATCTGAAACTCAGCCACCCTCACTAGGGGATGATTAGCTCTGGAAGCACTCAGAAGAGATCCAGTTTCTTGCTCCAAGTCCTGTCACTACCCTGCCTACGCCGGTTTCCTGCTTCTGCACATGAAGATGGAAGTGGGCACCATCTGCATCCACTTCATGGCCGAGAATTCGGTGCGGACACCCCCGGTGGTGCGGCAGGCAGAAGAGTTGTGGCAGATGAGAAGAGTCTTCTCGCCTAATGTCCAGAAGGTGAACAGTAAAGAAGAACAAAAAGGCCAAGGCAGAAAAGGAAATATTCTGTAAGTAAGAAGTAAGACATTTTTCCAGAACTAAAGTGGGAAATACTGGAACCCAGAGGTATCACTAGCGCTGGCCAAACGCAGCTAGCTACGTTTCCACACCGCCATGGCTCTCAGCACAGGCACTCCTGCAAATTCCCTTTCACACTCCTTTAATCTGGCCCACCCATAGTAACTTAAATGAAACACCTCAAGAATCTTTCTCATATGTAGATTTGAGCTTTCACGAGGCCATTTTCCCTTTCCAGAGGAAAACGACAAATCGTAAAGCTTGCCCATTTATCAGCTTCTTCCCTTTTTCCGTAGGATGACTATTCTCTTAAAGATGTGGTTCTCTGCTTCAGACAAAATGGATGATGTGTCTGTTTGAAATAAGATTGTTTACTTTGTCAATGCTCATGGGATCAATTTTTTTTTTCCCTGCCATCTCCTATGGAGAACATCTTGCCAAGTGCAGTATTCATCTCCCTGAATGAGCTATCAAGATCTATTTTTTTTGACAGAAATCACGCTGCAACCAAAACTGGTCAGAATCTCTCTCAGTTTCAGAAGCGTGCATGGATATGAATAATACAGAACCTTATCTGGTGCGATTTCAGCATTTCTTTTATCATTTCTCTTTCATGACATTTATTTTCTTGAGAAAATTATACGCTTGTAGTTTTAACGCAAAAAAAAAAAATACAAAGCAGCACACAGTCTTTCTTGCTATTTGCTCAGACATGTCTGAATACACACTCCTGGGCACAAAACACAGGAGCAATACTGCAACGTCCCCACTGGACTGAATGTTACCCCGAGCAGCTTTACTAACGAGGCTAACTCCGGCAGCCGAGAGCCACTAATAAGCTGCTGGAGAATGAGGTCTTAATTGCAGATTTGTTTAATTCAGAGACAAATACTTGTGTTGTATTAAGAGCAGCCTATTCATGCATGAGCATTCAGGAAGAATTTAGCACAAAACCATTTTTCTAAGCACTGGAAGAGGAAGCATTCAGTAAAAGTGTCACCCTGCTCCGAGCAAGAGGGGTTGGACACCAGGGAACGAAACAGTGTTCAAGGCATTGTGTCGGGCTCCCGTACTCGAGCGTGTCTCGCTATCAATCATTTCTGAAGCAACAGCGCCGAGACTTCCCAAAGCTCCCGTTATTGTCTTGTACACTCCCCAGCATCCAAACCAAACGTGAAGCGCAAATAAATCATCAGCAAAATCTTGAGAACAAAATCTAAAAAAAAAAAAAAGAAGACACCAAACCCAACCATCCATTGGAGGATATAATCTGCCTGACACCCCTGCACAACGCTGATGACAATCCTAGGTTAATCACACAGATGATGAATTTATTCTTACGTCAATTCCTTTAAAAACAACAGCATTACAGGTGTAGCAGCTAGCGGGCTGATCTGCCCGTCTCTTCCAGCTGGCATCTGCACATCTCGGGGATGAGCTGCTAGACAAAGGAGCACGCCGGCATTTTGAAGGATGCAACCATGACAGCCAGCGTTAACACAGGCCGTAGTTACCAACTTTCATTGTTCACCACACAGAAGATCCACTTACAGGTTCGTTCTCCGGTACAGGGTGGACTGTGAAAAACGTCCCTCCATTATGAAGTGAGGGGCTGGGAAGGGACAAAGTGCTGATACACGGCTCCTCATCTGCTCCCCCGGCCGTCCTCCTCCCTGCCCACGCAGCTGCCGAGCTGCCCTCTCCTCCCAGCACCTTCTCCAGCACCCAGCGCCCTTCCTCTCCCCATCAAACCCGTTTCTTTCCTACTTTTCCCTTACCAGTAGCCCTCTTTGTGAAGCTTGGTCTTATTTTATGACAACTGCCAACTCTTTGAGGCCAGAAAGGTCTTTAAGAAGAGGGGGAAAATCACCGCATCCATTCTGAAAGGGTTTTGTGTGTGTTTAGCGGTGTACTTCATCCTTGTTTAAATGGAGCCCCTTTTATTCCCCTCTCTGCAAGCAGCATGGAGCTAATGACCCCTCAGGACAATTAACCAGAGAGTTTGGCGTGTAAATCAGCAGCAGGCTGGAAACCAGGTCCTGCTGAATGGACGCCTTCTCCCAGCTGGGCAGGAGAGGACGACAGCCACCTCAGCCACTCCATCTGCACCCACCCCGGGCTGGCTATTGACGAGGAGCGGGGGCACCTTCCATTGCCATGAACAAACCCCCCCTTTTTTAATCTCTTCGAGCTCCCCTGCACAAACCCCTCCTCACCCCGGCTGCTGGGGCCCCCGACACCCCAAACCCACGGCTGACACGCCACAAACCCACCCGGCTCCTGCCCACACCGTCCCCTCGGGCTCCCACAGCACCCGTGGGTGGTAATGGAGACACACACTGGAAACCGGCCCCACCGACACCCCCGGGTGCCCCCCCCGGCTTTGGGTTCCCCCTCCCCGGCTCCCTCCACGCACCCCCAGCCTCACAGCCGACTGAGACCCACCGGCCTTGGCCGCAGCCCACCCACCGGCCCCCCCGCCCGTACCCGCGTCCTCCTCGTCGAAGCTGTTCATGCAGGGGAAGTAGATGGCCAGGGCCTCGAAGGAGGCGGAGAGGCTGAGGCGGCTCTGCGACCGCTCCATGAAGAGCCCGGGTCCGGGGGCGCCGCCGGGGGCCTCGCCCGCCGCCGCCGGCGGCTTGGCCAGTTTGGCCGCCCCATTCTTCACTCGGAGCACGGCCCGCGGCGTCTTGGCGGCGGCGGGGGCCGCGGTGAGGCGGCGGCGGCAGCGACGGTGGAGCTGAGGCGAGGCGAGGCG